ATATCCTTATCATCACATTTTTCACACTATGTTATCTTTTGCCACCAGCATCATGGTAACCCCAACATCTAAAGGAGAGAACACTCTTTTTCTAGCCATGTAAATATTTGTGAATATTTTTGCATCTGGTTTGTTTTCCACACTTCACTACAGAAGTGTTCTTTCTAATTTCTTTCTTTTTTGTACCAAGGATTGAACTCACAAGCTTGCACTTACTAGGCAAGCACTTGAGCCACTGAGCTAAAAATCCCCAGCCTTCTTTGTAATTTCTTTTCTTAAAATTTTATTTAAAGAGAAAAAAATCGAAACAAAAAGGGGTAGAAATAACACATAATTTCCAAAAAAAGCAGTAAGAAATCACTAGTTGATAAATTTCTTTGTAATTTCTTAACTAGTATTTTCCCACTATCCATTTAACTGTGCAACATTCTACAGTATTCAATTTTTGTCATTCTAAAACCCCTTATAACTTTACAACCATCTTTTATAATTATAGAACTTAAAAATGGCCACACTATTATAATTCAAAAACTACTTCTCAGATCTCCATTGTTAGCTCTAATATTTTAATCCTTATATTAATGGCTGCCTTATATTAATGACAGAGGTATAATCTCATGGAGATTCTAAAATGCATTTTTCTTTAAAACCTAATTTATTTTTTCTCTCTTTCTGTATTGGATTATTTGTTTATAGGATTCCTATTATTCATAAAAATTTTGTTTATTCTTTCTGGAATTCAACTTGTTACCCTTCTAACAATATAGTTTCTTCAAGGATTTTCGTCTAGTCTTCACATTTATATGTGTTTTTCATAATTCTCATTACTAAGTAATCTTTTTTTTAACATGTTGAGAAATCTGGGGGTTTTGCATCTAGATCACAATATTATGTTAGGATTCACTATTCTGTTAAATGTTACGTTAAACTTTAGGGACTCTCACTTCCATGTTAGTTTTATGGTCACATAAACTAATATGTACCTGAGAAGGACAGATGTGTTTTCCACTGTTTAGGTGGTGTTTCCAAGGTATTTGAGCTCTTTAGTGACTCTCACTTCCATGTTAGTTTTATGATTACATTTTGTAGTAGACTAATATGTGCCTAAGAAGGTCAGATGTGTTTTTCTCTGACTGTTTGAATGGTGTTTCCATGGCATTTGATCAACACTATGAATAGAAATGTTCTTCCTGTTTTGCTTTTAAGTCTCCTATTGTCTGTATCAGTTTTATGGATTCTGTAATTCATTTTATTATTCTTCTAGTAATATAATTTCTTCAAGAATTTTCATCTAATGTTCAAATTTATATGCTGTTCACTGTTTGGATTATAAAGAAGTGCTTTTTTTGGAGCACACTGAGATATCTGATTTTTTGCATATAACTCTCAATACTATGTTATGATTCTCTGTTCTGTTAAAAATGCTATTAAACTTCACTGACTCTCATTAATGTGTTGTAGATGGTCACATTTTCTACTCTGCTAATACGTGCCTAAGAAAGACAAATGTGTTTCACATGGGTTGTTCAAGTGGCATTTCTAAGGAATTTGATCAAAAGTGCAAATACAAGTGGAAAAAATTTTAATATTCTGATTGATATTGGTCTGGGTGTCATGATTATTAAAATACTATAATAAAAATCTTCCACTACAATGAGGAATTGTCTTTCTGTAATTGTATGTTTCCATACCACATATGTAGATGCTATGAATATTTGAATTATTTTTTTTTTGTCTTTTTCGTTTTTATCGGTACCAGGGATCGAACTCACAACTGCCTGCTTGCAAGGCAGGTGCTTATGCTGCTGAGCTAAATCCCGAGCCTCGAATATTTGAATTCTTAAAATCATATTATAAATACAATAGCCCTGATATATTCTGTAGTTTTACTGCCTTGAAGTTGGTTTTGTCCAATATAATTGAAGGTAAGAAAGCATTCTGTTGAGTTGTTTGTGTAATTCTAACACATATTTTTCATCATATTTAAGTAAAGCATACTGATGACATCTCACAGAGATCTTAACGTTTTCTGTATGAATATCCAGGTTCATCTTAACTACTAAGTGCATTCTTCAAGCCCTTTTCAAATGTTAGGTCACTATAAAGGTTTGGGTTTATGTCATAAATTTAGTTCCTTTTCTACAAGCCAAAGTATATTTTTATGCCAGCATCACATTAATTATCCATGTATAATTTTGTATTTGTTTCAATTCAGGAAGTCTAAACCGGGCATGGTGGCTCACACCTGTAATCCCAGCACTTGGGAGGCTGAGGCAGGAGGTCCTTGGGAGTTCAAGGCCAGCCTGAGCTACAAAGTGAGCTCAAGACCAGTCTGAACTGCCTAGAGAGACCCGGGTTCAAAAAGAAAGAAGTCTAACGACCTCATGTCTAATTTTCCAACTCCAAATTGTTTAGGCTACTGAGTATATTTTGTGATTTCATATGAGTTTTAGGATTAGGATTGTTTTTCTTTTATTCTGTAAAACATGCTCTTAGACTCTTAAAGTATATGCTCTTTTTTAGCACTATTGAAATCATTCTCTGTTTAAAAACTGTTGAGTTTACCAACACCATGCTTAGTAGATGATGTAAGAATGAACGTCTTTTTCTCATATCCGATCTTAGTGGAAAATCCTTCAGTTAATTATTAAGCCTGAATCTAAATGTGTGTTTGTCACTCATGTCCTTTATGATAGTGAGGTACATTCTTTCTCTACATAATACATACAGAGTAGCTATTGTGAAAAGTTATACCATCAAATGAGTCTGTCTGTTGAGGTTTCTATGTTTCATTACTTTAAACAGATCTCTGTAGATTTGCATGTTGATCCATTCTTGCAGTGAAAGGTCAGTCTTGCTGGACTATCGTGGATGAGGTTTTTAATGCACTGTTACTGTCTACTTGCTACATTTTTAAGACTGTCAGCAGTATGTTTACCAGAGTCACTGTCTTGTATCTTTATTCTTCTGATGTCCTTTTGTAGCAGGATAATTAGGGCCTAAGGAAATAAGCATGAATATATTTCATCTTTGGATTTTGAAAACTTGATGATGGTCTTATTTACTTTTCAAATATGTGATAGAATTTATCACTGAAGCAATATTGTTTTGAAAGTTACTCTAAATCTGGATTTTATCACAGCTTCATAGTTTTTAATCTTTTAACATTTGTATTTTTTATTTACTGATGATTCATTCTAGGTATTTTGTGTACACCTAGGGAAATTTGTTTCTTCTAGATTATATAACTCGTGGTAAATAAATGTTATAGTGGTATTATCTGATTCTCTATGTTTCTGTAGTATCAGTTGTGAAAGAGCTTGGTTTTCTGAGGGCAAGATGGAAAACAAGGAATGGTGATATCTGAACAAGTGATTCTGACTGCTGAAAGATTATGTAAAGCCACCTCTTCCTGAAAACTCAGAAAACTCAAAGAGAACCCAAAATAGCACATCACATAACAAAAAGAAGGTAGGTTTTCAAAACTAAGAGTCATAATTCATACACTTACCATAAATACAAAGATTTTATTGATAATACCAAATTACAAATTTTCTACAAAGAAAAAATGGCATTATGCAATAATCACTCCCCTTATATTGCATGTATTCAATAAATAATTTCAATGTTACTGAATGTCATTAATAATGTAAGCATATTTATTACATAGTAGGTATGGAAGTTAAAATACAAAGTTATGGTGTAACAAGAAATACTCCATAATACTTTCCTGGCCTTTTTCACAATAAAGGAAACATACAGAATTCTGCAAAGCACAAAAGACTGGAATATGACATCTCATGTGCAAGAAAGCCTTGGTCAGTGGAAAGATATGTCTCCAACAAAATGATGCAGAAGAAAATTACTCCAAAATCCAATGGAGAAATGAAATACTAATCTTAGGTAGTCCAGTGTCAATCTTAGTGAAAATTGTATCATTCATCTTCTGTCTGTATATAAGAATCTAGTCAATCTTTTTCTACCAAAAGCATAATTATTTGTTTGGATAAAAATGAGAAGTTTACAACTGTTGACTTCCAAAGTTGAACAAAATAATTGTTAGCCTAGGTTTGTGATCCATAATATAAGTGTCAATTTCTTGTTGTGTCATAGCCTTGTGGAATATTTATCACTGTGGGATAATTAACAGTTATTTTTGCCTCTAATCTCTGTATATCAGTAGTTTGTAAGACACGAACTTTATCAGTAAGTTGTAAGAATCAAATATGTTTCAAATCGTTGCTAGTTGACCTGTAGTCTAGGAGGATAGATAACAATCATGCCTTATGAATCATTTTTGGGTTGGTATTTAATTATAACTGGGTCAGAAGCATTGAGCTTCAATCAAAATTGAAAAAAGGTGAATAATTTACTCTCTGTGTGTTATAAAAATAATTCTTTAGAGAGCTGAGACTATTGAAATAGATTTATATATGCAATACATTTCAGCATTCTGAAGAAAAATTCCTTAAAACAGGTTAACTTGCCTTTCACATGGCCAACATGTCTTTCTTTTAGTACTCAAGAATATAGGGTATTACCATGACTTCCTCTCTGTCCACACCTCTTTCTATACTGTAAGCTTTTCAATAATCCATTAGAAGCCAGTTTCTGGTAAAGCCACATTTGCTTGTGAAGTTGGACATACACTATCTCCTCAAATCCTGAACTATTTTTGTGTATAATCACCCATAACCAACACTTTGATTTTTTTAATTTTTTGCATTTTATATGTTTGCAATACATAGCAATACTTTCCACTTGGGACATTGGCATATATGCATATTGTGCCTTCATCATTTTTATTTCCCTACTCCCTTCTCCCCTAACTCCCTTTCCACTCAGTCCCCTCCAATCTGCACAAGGTGTACCACCCTGTTTCTTACCATCTCTTTTTGTTTAGGACAAGCAGAATTTGTTTTTACAAAATTTAGGAAATATTTCAGTTTTCATTTCAGGCTTGCCTCATCTAATTAAACTATCAAAATATGATTTTTAAAATGTTTCCCAGCACAGTACTTTTTGGCTTTTTCCTCATATCACAGGTTTGTATTGGTGTCCTCACAAACTCATCACTGTTCATGGCATTGATGTATACCTTCTTAACTCAACCTCAGCTTATGAGGCCCATAGATTCCATTATGATTCACATGACAGTGGTGAATAATTTGACTATCATAGTCACACTTACACCATATATCAAGGCATCTTTTGGGGTAAGACACTTTTTGAATGATGCTGGCTGTAAGGTAATTTTGTATGCATACAGAGTTACCCGAGGTGTGTCCATCTGTACTACCTCACTTATGAGTACATTTCAAGCCATCACTATCAGCCCCATTACTTCTAAGTGGGCACGGCTCAAGTCTAAACTCTCTGCAATGATTATTCCTTCTTTGCTTATCTTCTGGATCAGCAACTTACTCATTTACATCTTTGTTATTGAAAACATAAGAGCAAACGGCAATTTTTCTCTTGTCGGTCGAGGGTATTCTCATGTATATTGCCAATCTAGACAAATGACAACCATGTCTTCATGGTCCTTAATAATCCTCATGTTGGCCTGTGATTTTGTGTTTTTGACACTCATGATCTGCACCAGCCTCTACATGGTGAGTCTCCTCTACAGACACCACAGGAGAGCCAAGTATGTCCATAGACCCTCTTACCAGACACCTGCAGAAATCAGAGCAACTCAAATCATTGTCTTGCTGCTGAGTTGCTTTGCGTTATTCTATTGTTCAAACAATATTTTCACTTTTTATTCCATTTCTACATACCAGAAAATTCCTGCTTTAGAAGGGATTAGTGCAATGTTATCATCATGTTATCCAACAATTTCTCCTTTGTTTCTGATAAAAAGTAATAAAATGGTTTCCCAATTTTTCTGTTTTGCAGTGATGAGGTTTATCCGTCCTCAAACTACTTTCAATGGCTAAGATGACCCACATATATTTTACCTTTGCAATGGAGGAATGTCCCTAGTCATTCATAAAACAGAAAAACTATGTGCCATTTACACATAGCTGTGTTTTCAATTCTGATATAGAAAAAATCGAAGGAACATCCAGAAATAAATCTTTAAATAAATATAAGTACATACATGTGCATTGTTAAATTTTAAAGCATAATATTATTAGATAAATAAATACTTCTACTGTCTGGTAACATTTTATTGGAGTTGTTCTTCTCCCAGGAATAACCTGATTCAAAATTCCCTTCAGAAATTATGTTACATTTGTATTAAAATACAGTGGACTGAGGTACTGCATTTAGGCTGATATAAGATGTCACGATAAAGTAAAAATAACTATACACATGTAAATGCTTGTAAAGTTAATTTTGATTGTTGGGTTTGGGAGAAGTAACAGATTCATTGCATAATATACAATAAAATAAAATTGTGTTTCTTTTAATATCTTCCTCAATCTCTGATCAGTCATAACCCCACATGTTATGTTTACAAACTTTTGATACAGGCTATTATAATTTCAATTAAAATAATTTCTTATCAATAATTATCTATCTGAAAAGTTAGACACCACAGAATCCCACCCCAGTCTGGGGGAGCCCTCTTTGTTGCCTGGGGACCAGTGCACGGTTTCCTGCCTGGACCAGCGAGTTGGGCAGGCACAGAATCCTGGCCCAGTCTGGGGGAATTCTGTCACCTGGGGACCAGCGAGTGGTTTCCAGCCGGGACCAGTGAGTGGGACCTAGGCACAGAAACCCGCCCCAGTCTGGGGGAGCTCTCTTCCTCGCCTAGGAACCAGGTCGCGGTTTCCTGCCAGGCCCAGCGAGTGGTGCCACAGAGCAGAACCCGGACCCAATCTGGGGGAACTCTCTCCCTCACTTGGAACAACACTTGAAGCTCAAAAATATAGGAAAATGACAAAACGAAAGACCAAAATGCAGTCTCAAACATCCTGCACAACCCAAGAAAGCCTAGGAACCATGTACGTAGGAGAGAGCACAAGCCACGTACCTGAAATACCTGAAATAATAGTAACTGAAATAAAGAAGCAACTCTGGGAAGCCTTAAAGGAATTCAAACTAGAAATAATCTCTCAGGTGAAAGAAGAAATGAAGGAGATGCTGAACATATCTAAAGAACACACAGTTAAAATATGGAGGACCTAAACAAAAAGATAGAATCCCTGGATGAACAATATAAGAAACAAACAGAATACATAAAGCAGATGCAAGGAGATATACAGGAAATCAAAAATTCCATTGAAACTTCTAAAGACCACCTCAATGAATGTGAAGATAGAATCTCAACCCTTGAAGAAAAGATTTCAGCCAGTGAACAGGAAAGGAAAGATCTTTTAAAAATAACAAGAAATCAGGAAATAACAATTCAATACCTGCAAGATGACGCAAAGCAGAACAACATAATGTTGGTAGGGATAAATGAAAAAGAAAGGGACAACATAAAGGATATCAAGAAGATATTTAGAGATGTAATAGCTGAAAATTTCCCAAACATGAGATTGGAAGCTGATATCAAGCTCAGTAAAACATATAGAACTCCAAATAGCCATAACCAAAATAAAACTACACCCAGACACATAATAATGACCATTCCAGAAATCAAACAAAAGAATAGAATATTAAAGCTGTCAGAGAGAAAAGACAGATCACCTATAAAGGAAAACCTATCAGAATCATAGCAGACTTCTCAGCACAAACAAGAAAGTCAAGAAGAGCATAGAGTGAAGTATTTCACATCCTGAAGGAAAATGATTTTCAACCTAGCCTGATATAAACTGCAAAACTGTCCTTCAAAATGGATGGAGAAATAAGACTTCCCGTTGATCTGTCCATTGGTGTCAATGGTGTGTTAAAATCTCCTGTTATAATTGTATTACTGCTAATTTGGTTTTTCATTTCTGATATTACTTGTTTTATGTAACTGGGTGCTTTGGAATTGGGGCATATATATTTAAGATATTTATCTCTTCCCCTTGAAGTTTTTCCATAACCACTATGTAGTGACCTGTTTTGTCTCTTCTGATCATTACTGGTTTAAAGTTCACATTGTCTGCAAACAGAATAGCTACCCCCGCTTTTTTTGGGGGGGAGGGGTTCCTGTTGCATGAAGTATTGTTTTCCATCCTTTGACTTTCAGTCTGTGAGTATCCTTTTGGGTTAAATGGGTTTCTTATAGACAGCATATGGTTGGATTTTGTTTCTTGATCCATTCTGCCAGTCTATTTCTTTTAATTGGTGCATTGAGACCATTTACGTTAATGGTTATAAGTGCTATATATTGGTTTATTAGTGACATGTTATGTTTCTGCTGTTGCACCTTTATCTTTCTGTTCTATTTAATTGTCTGCTTTGTTAAGTGTTTTTTTCCTTAAGTGTATCTAGGCTGTCTTTCAGTATTCTTTGCAGGATTGGCTTGGTGATCATGAATTTCTTCAGCTGTTCTTTGTTGTGGAAGTATCTTATTTCTCCATCAATTTTGAAGGACAGTTTTGCAGGGTACATCAGTCTAGGTTGGAAATCATTTTCCTTTAGGGTCTGAAATACTTCACTCCATGCTCTTCTTGCCTTTATTGTTTGTGTTGAGAAGTCTGCTGTGATTCTGATAGGTTTTCCTTTATAGGTGATCTGTCTTTTATCTCTGACAGCTTTTAATATTCTATTCTTTTGTTCGATTTCTGGAATGGTGATTATTATATGTCTGGGTGTAGTTTTATTTTGGTTATGGCTATTTGGAGTTCTGTATGCCTCACTGATCCTGATATCAGTTTCCAACTTCATGTTTGGGAAGTTTTCAGCAATTACTTCTCTAAATACCTCTTGACATCCTTTGTATTGTCTCCTTCTTTTTCATTTATCCCTATCAACCTGATGTTGTTTTTCTCTGCATCATCTTGCAGGTGTTGTATTGTTATTTCTTGATTTCTTGTTATTTTGAAAAGATCTTTCCTTTCCTGTTCACTGGCTGCAGTCTTGTCTTTGAGGTCCAAAATTCTATCTTCGCATTCATTCAGGTGGTTTTTACAACTTTCAATGTTGCTTTTGATTTCCTGTATATCTCTTTGCATCTGTTTTATATATTCTGTTTGTTTCTTATATTGTTCATCCAGAGATTCTATCCTTTTGTTTAGTTCCTCCATTTTTTTAGCTGTGTCTTCTTTAGATATGTTCAGCATCTCCTTCATTTCTTTTATTATTTCTTCTTTTACCTCATATATTATTTCTAGTTTGAATTCCTTCAAAGCTTCCCATAGCTGCTTCTTTATTTCTGTTACTATTGTTTCAGGTATTTCAAGTATATGGCATGTATTTTCTTCTATGTGCATGGCTCCTAGGCTTTCTTGGGGGGATGGGTTGGGTGTTTGAGATTGCATTTTGGTCTTTCGTTTTGTCATTTTCCTATATTACTGTGTTTCAAATGTTGTTTCAGAGTTTCCCCTGGTTGTGTTGTAAATTGACTCTTATGTCCTGGGCTCTTGGGGCTCCTCCTGTAGTAGCTCCCTCCTTGGGCAGTGGAGCCCCTGGATTAAAAGAGGCTTGCCAGGCTCCTCTCAGGTAGACCTAAAGCTTCCTCAATTTGCACAGTTTCAGGGCCAGACCAGAGTCGCCTCTGCTCAGCTGGATGCACACCTTCCAGTCCCCAGCGGTGGCAGTATGGGTCCTGAGTGGGATAGGCAGCAGCAGGGCCAGACTCCGCTCGGCTGGACTTGCACCTTCCAGTCCCCAGCAGTAGTAGTTGGGCCCTGGGCGGGAGAGGCGGCAGCTAGGCGGGCCTCTGCTCAGCTAGATGCACACCTTCCAGTCCCCAGCGGTGGTGGGCCCCGGGCAGGAGAGGCTGCAGCAGGGCCAGCCTCCGCTCAGCTGGATGCACACCTTCCAGTCCCCAGTGGTCGTAGTATGGACCCTGGGCAGGAGAGGTGGCAGCAGGGCCCGGTCTTCTAAAACTGACCATATATTAATTCACAAAACATATCTAAATAAATGCAAAAGGGTTGAAATCATCCCTTGCATGCTTTCAGACCATAGCGCTATGAAATTAGAAATTAATGATAAAAGATACTACAAAATTCCCACAAACAAATGGAAATTGAATAACACACTCTTGAGTAATCAGTGGGTCACAGAGGAAATTAAAGAAGAAATTAAACACTACCTACAAGAAAATGAAAACACAAATACAACTTACCGGAATCTGTGGGATGCAATGAAAGCTGTCCTCAGAGGAAAATTTATTTCACTGAGTTCCCACATTAGGAAAACAGAACGAATACAAATAAATAACCTGATGCTACACCTCAAACAGCTAGAAAAAGAAGAGCAAGTCAAGCCCAAGGCCAAAAGAAGTGAGGAAATTATAAAACTCAGAGTAGAAATCAACGCAATAGAAACTAAGAAAACAATCCAAAAAATCAAATAATCAAAAAGCTGGTTGTTGGAAAGAATAAATAAAATCGAAAAGCCCCTAGTCAACCATATTTTTTAAAAGGGAAGAAAAAGCTCAAATTCATGCAATAGGAATTAAAGAGGAAAAATCACTACAGACCCCATAGAAATACAGAAAATCATCAACACTTATTTCGAAAACCTCTATTCTCAACAGTTTGATAACACAGAGGAAATAGACAGATTCCTAGAAGCATACGAAGTACCAAAGCTGGGTCATGAAGATGTAAAACTACGGAATAACCCAATTTCTATTAATGAAATCAAAAATGTAATTAAGTCCTTACCTACAAAGAAGAGCCCAGGCCCAGATGGATTCACTGCAGAATTCTACAAGAAATACAAAGAAGACCTAATGCCGACACTCCTCAAACTCTTCAATGAAATTGAAAGGGAAGCAATCCTTCCTAAATCAAATATAAGCAAATATTACTCTGGTAACAAACCCTGAGAAAGACCCAACTGAAAAAGAGAACTACAGACCAATCTCCCTAATGAACACAAATGC